GTGACTCACAGCAGCCCAGCTCCAGGTTGAGCTGTTGTTCAGCATCTTAGCTGTGGAGGGCAGTGTCACTGGCCCTCATATGTGGAATCCGAACCGGGGCCCTCTGGTGTCCCAAGCCAGTTCTTAACCATCGCGCCACTCTGCCGGCCCCTGTGACTTTATTTTAAAATGCTAGAAGTGATATGCCAACATTACAAAAGTGAGGGAAATGAAGGAAAATTACAAAGTAGAGTAAAATTAGTCACTACCCTAATACTGAGAGGCTGCTGGTTACCTTTGCACCTCAATCTCCTCATATGTAAAATTGGGAATAATTAGCACTTTCTTTATGAGGCTTTGCGAGGACTAAACAAGATAGCAAATGTAAAGTGCTCACGTGCATGCGCGCGCGCACACACAGGGTTGTTTTATTAGAGCAAAAACAACCATTTTTATATAGTCTCTTTGTCTTGTTTTTCCTGTTTTTTTATAAAGTTGTTTTCTTGTACCTTTGTATCCCAGTTTCCTACTGCACATTGTTATATGCTCATTTTCTGTCTTGCTGTGCGTGATTACTGTAATTTTGAATGGTCGCGTTCTGTTCTGTGGTAGGGTGTGGGTGTACTTTCAGAGTTTATCTGTCCCCCTATCGTGAAACATTTGGGTTGCTTCCAGTTCAGTGTATAAATAGTACTTATGGGAAGAGTTGTTCGTGTGCAGGTTACTTCATCTCTGTGTCTTTGTTGCCCTGATCCTAAATGGGGTTAAAATAGTATCTACCTGAGAGGATAGCTGTATGGGTTAGATGAGGTAACACAGCAAAGCACTTGAAACAGTGCCTGGCACCTACCAGATGCTCAGTAAAAACATTACCTCTTAACCTCTGTTTGGGTTTATTTCTTTAGGTTCACTCACCAGAGATGGGGTTTCTTCATTCACTGGTTTTTCAGAAAGATTTTAGCAGTTTATGATGTCAACAGCATTATGTAAAAAGACCCATTTCTCTACACCCTCACTAGCAGACATCCCAGGGTGTAACTCTCTTTCCCTTTAAAATAATGGTGAAAAATAAATTCATTCATATTTGGGCAGCTTGCTATGACCCGAACTCACTTCCGCTCATTGCCCTGAACACTCAGACCTCATGTCACAAAGGTGAGGTTCTAGAGGCTATTTGTAAGTATCTTTTCCTGGAGCTTTCAATCCCCAGCTACTTTCCACCAAATTATAGCAAAAGTTGGTCCGTAGAAGCTAAAAACCCAGCCTATTTTATTCCTTATTGAAGTACATGCTATTGGGTATCTTTTTATTTTTACTAAAATGAACTATCAGTTTGCTCCCCCTCCCCTCATGAGAAAAGAAATCAGCAAGAGTAACCGTGTGCCCTGGTTTCCCTAGCTTGTACTTGTCCTGGTGTAATTATTTATAGTGCCCCCTTCACTCTCAAAAGTGACCTACGTAGTTTGAATGATAAATTATATTGTCACCTCATCCCAGGGGATTCCTCATCGGCCAGGTTGTCTTGCCTGCACTTGCCACCTCACTGCTCCCCTAGATGATTTTCTGTCCAAAAAAGGAGTCAGCCACATTGCCTGTCCCAAGCTTCACCTGAGGTCCTCACGTGTCCCCAGCCTCTTCTGAATTAACATTAGCCCAATAGGCATTTACTCAAGTTTTCCCATTTTATCCCTTGTTTCCCCCATATCTTGCAGCTAGATAATTGTCAATGGCATAGGCAGGGCAGAGCGCATTAAATTTGTTTCCCAAGTTGCTCTTTGTCCTTCAGAATTATTTATTTTGCACCTCAGCTCATCCCCATTTCTCACCACTTAAAATTTTGAAAATTATTATCTGCTTTCAAGTTCATCTTAAATGGAAACAAGATATTAGGACTTTTAACACTCACTGCTCTTGCCCTTATCAGATATAATAAGGTTGTTGATATTCATAACTCGCCTCAGAAGCCCTCATGCAAACACGGCAGACAGGTCTAAGCTGAGTAGCTTGTAGCAAGGACACGGCCAAGGTGACACACACAACCCCCATCTCCTCGCTTGGTCACAGGTAGAGTTTCGTTCACAAAATGAAAATCTGTAAGCACAGAAGATTTGGCATTGGAAAAATGAAAACAAATTAGCTCCTCGGTGATGATTACCCTTTGCACTTAGGTAACTGTATTTTAAAGGCATAAAGGGATTTTATGATTTGGAAGGCTCTCTTTCTCCCCAGAGAAGTGCCTGCATTCCTTGGGTAATGTGTTCACCGTTTTGAGGAAGAAAATGTTTTGAACGAGGGATGCTGCCATCTTGAACTAGTGCAGGGTCAATGTGGGGCTGTAGCTCATAGTTCAGATTGTGAATTATCAATAGAAAATTTGTGTTTCCGTTTGTTTTAACCAGGTGACTTTCGGATGGTGGTTGGAGAGGATAAGACAAAAGTGTTGAATATTGTAAAGCCCAACATAGCCCACTTTCGTGAGCTCTATGACAACATACTACAGGAGAATCCCCAAGTGGTGTATAAAATCCAGCAAGGCAGACTGGAGGTAACTCTGTGTGAAAAATAATTTCTGTTGTTTCTAAGGCAGGAGCTGTTTTAAGGGGAAAAGCAAGGGTTAGAGCAGCATGACTAGTGTGGTAACATTTATAATTTTAAAAGTAAGTTTTGTATATAAACATGTTCTTCTTTATATTGGAATAATGCTGAAAGGTAACACAAGAGACTAGTAATAAGAGGCCACCTTTGAAGAGGGGAACCAGGGGCTGACTGAGGGGAACATGGCGTGTCTTCATCATGCGTCTCTTTTGCCATTTGAAATTCTTACTATGCATATTAATCACCAGTCAAAAGCAAGTGAAAATGAACTCTCAGATTACCTTCTCTCCATCCCCAATCCCATTTGCCTCCCCAGAGGGAACCCTTCTGACAGTTGGGCATTTATTCCTCCAGGTCCTTTTGCATGCCCATGGATGAAGTGCTTTGGCCTTTTTTGGTTTGGTTTTGTTTTACTTAAATGGACTCATACATATTATTCTGAAGCTTCCCCCCCCCCACTTGTGTTTATTATGTCTTGGAACTCTCTTTTTGATACATCAAATAAAAACTTCTTTCAAGGTATTTTTTAAATAATATTAAGAATTTGAAAAGTAAAATAAGAACAAAGTGGGACGTATCATGCTACCTGACATCAAATCATACTACAAGGCTACAGTAATCAAAACAGTATGGCACTGGCATAAAAACAGACACATAGATCAATGGAACAGAATAGAGAGCCCAGAAATAAACCCATCCATATACGGGCAGTTAGTCTATGACAATGGAAGCAAGAATTTACATTGG